TATATATATATATATATATATATATATAGAGAGAGAGAGAGAGAGAGAGAAAGAGACCAGAACCACCGGGAAAATCAGATCCAAACTCAGGAAGACTCATATTCTGCTGAAATTGCGCCAAGAATCCAAAAGAAGAAGCATCCCCGCTGTCCAATAGCGTATTCTCATTTATGTGCTGAGCATTGGAATCCACACTGCTGAAAGACGAGACAGATGGATCGGCCATCATGTTAGGACGCATCTCCACATAATTCCTGTTCGGACCAAAATCAAAAGGCTGTGAAACCCCACCATAACCACCACCCTCCGTCTTCACAATCTTCCCGTTCATCGTCGTCGACTGATCCAGTCCCAGGTTTGCGTTTTGCGGCAAGAACATGCTTTGAGAAGGTGGCCCGATGGGGATGGGTCCCTCCATGCATCCTCCAACCATGGGCCCCACATCGTTCAACACTTTCACTGGCTGCATTTCATTTAGTTTTACTGGCCTCGCGTTACTGGTTGACGGGACACGCTGTGCTGTTGTAAGATTCGATATTATAGGCACAATGATATTAATGGGAAGGAATAAAATACTACTCCCTCCTATTCTTTTTAAACGTCGTTTTGTGCTTTAGCACATAAATTGAGAATTTTTTTGTTGCCAATATTAGCCTTGTTTAAAGCAAATTAACATTAATTAATTTCTTTTTTTTTCAGCTTTTTTATGTTCTTTTAAGAGAGAAAACTCACCGTATTCCACAACTTTCCTCCCAAAACGTGTAGTGTAATAGTTAAATGAGGGTAACAATGAAAAAATATGTATAAAAAATCCAAAACGTCATTTATTTGATTAATAGTCAATAAAGCCAAAATGACAAATAAAAAGAATAGGAGTGAGTACTTCTGAAGTTGAAACTCATTAGTTTCACACTCAACATGTACTTGAGCTTTAAGAACGTTAATTTCTAATTCAATTCATCACATACAAAGAAGGTGATTTCAGGATCCACTTAAATTCTGGAGAACAGGTTATCGGAAAGCTTTTCACATTTTAGGACCTTATAACTTCTTCACACACAAAGCAACCAACTAAATCTTAAGAGACCATAAGCTCCCAAATAACGTCTATGAGATGTTCTCCTATAAACTTGTAAGGTACATCGAAAACAATCGGTCAAGGACCAGGCGTCAAATTTAAGAATCAATTACGCATTAGTTATTTATTTTAGAAACTTAAAATATATGGCACAAAATCTACTTTTCTAAACCTGTTTCTTCAAATATACGAAATAACCATGTACTGTTTTTAAAATAAAGTGAAAAAATATCTCTTACAAGGTGAAACATGAGATCCGTTAGACGGGAGCACAGGACCAATCCCACTTAATCCAATTCGATGCATAAGCTCAACCTGCTCCGAAAGCAACCGGTTGAATTCCATTATCTGGTCCTTTACCAACAACTTGAGATAATAAGCCTTGAAAAACTCTTGATTTTCTTCTTCAAGCCTCTGCCAAACTAGAAAAGGTAGCAAAAGTACTACTAAGTTTTGATAGACATGCATATGAATCATAAGAAAACTAGAGGAATCTTACAATAAAAGTTAAATGACAAGAAATCCAAACATAACAAAGTTACAAACGGAAAGCGATGAGAGATGAAAAATGTCTTCAATACGAAATGGAATACAAAAGCTAAGGGCATCAGGAAGCTTTCAAGAATGTCATCAGAAGCTAAAAGGAAAATGGAACAGGACACCGTGAAAACAAGAAATTTTCTCATCTTAAATGTCGGATTACATTATTTCCACAGCCATGACTCAAATGATTTTTTTTGCCCTTTTGTTTTCTACTTTTGACATGTATATATAGAGTCCCAGAAAGTAAAAGCAACATCAGGAATAGTCAAGCTTTTAGCCAATATTTTCATAGATAATGAATAAACAGATAAGGATAATATTAGTCTCATCTCAATAACTAGTGAAACTTATAAGTTGATCTCGAAGTCATGAATTCATTTCTTTACAATGAAAAAAAACTTCATATTTCGAGACTGCTGAAGACATGATGTATCAGTTGCTTAATCACCATGACTCGGATACATTATACAAAAAGAAAAACCTACTGAGGTCTGTCCTCATTGAATATTTTCTTCTTTACCATATCTACACTTAGAAACAATAAACTAACATTTAATTAATTGTAAAACAAAATCATTTCTTAAATTTATTTTTTGTGACTTTGTAAAATACTGTGGAATTTTTCTGTAGTTCGTCCTAACTTATTTCCACCAAACAAATACATTTCCTTCCCCCAGCAGAATCACAGAAATTCATATTATCTCTGAATACTATTCCTACAATGGTATTTTACATCTAAAGTCCAATAAAAAATGGATCAGGTTCAGGGGGAATAAACACACCTGGGACCAGACACACACACAACTGGGTAGCCAAGTGTCAAATATTCACAAATGCATGTATAGGCAGACGTGTGTATTATAAAAAACAAAAGAACTGCTGAGATATGAATAACGTTAAAAGCCAGTATTCAGAGCATATGACATTCAGAGCTCGATAAGCAACGATTATACTATATAAAATGAGATAAAATAGCCTTACCCAGCTCAGTAAAACCTGGTTGAATGTTGTCCTGAACAAGAAGTGAGTTTATTACATCCTTCTTGCTCATGTAATGCTGGAGACACTGTTCAATACGATTTTGCACCTGACATATATTCAGCAAAATGGCTATCATTATTTTCCAAACATTTGGTTTCTCCTCATAATCAACAAGGGAGCTTCATTTCAATTGACAGTAATACAATATCGAATGGGAAAACAGATCTTTCGTAAAGAAAAATTATAAATTTGAGATAGAGAAGCAACAAATCAGGAGAATCTATTTGTCAGCATGATAGCTTCTAATGCAATTTTATTAGGTAGTTAAGTCAGGATTGACCAATTCTATCATTATCATGCCTAAATGGCATGATATCGTATATTTCTCACCGTATAAACTATTTAGGTTAATCTGTTTGATTTCATTAGTAACAGTATCTCTTTTGGATTTCATGCAAAGCATTCTTCATTATTTCGAATGACTGCCAATTACCAAACAATCACTTCTGCATACGTATCTTCAAAAGGCATAATTTTTGCCCTAAGTCGTGTTATCTTCTGCATCTCTGCAACATTTCCTCTTATATGGAAGAGAAAAATGTGTTTCTTTTCTTGGACTAGAAGGCATAAAATCATTCTCAATGCCAACCTCAAACCATGAATATAAGCAAAAAACTATTCGTTCTATAAAAAGGCTTTCTAACAGGAAAAGGTCATTGCAACGTAAACAACAATGCCCAAATTTAAAACAAACATGTATTACTACTCTAAATATCCAGACTCCTTGAGACAGTAATTGAAGCCAATATTCAACTTGCTACCAAAAGTTACGCATCCGATGTGTTCCAGACAGAATAAGTAAAACTCAGATTTAAAACTGCACTCATCAAACTCCTCATTGACGGATATATCCATTGAAACTTTATCTTCTAATCTCACCGACATAAGCTGGGCTGCTAATGATATTAAGACATAGAACCTATACGCAACCCACAAATTCATGAGCATTTCCAGAAATAAATCCAAAATCTATAACGCTCAGTCATCATCATCATCATCAACATACCCAGTATATTCCCAAACGGGTTGGGGTCTGGGGGGTCAGTTGTACGCAGACCTTACCCTTGTAATTATACAAGGAAGCTGTTTCCATAGCGACCCAAGATGCATTGCGTCGTTTGATATATTTTTCTAGAAACTTCACTAACAGAAGAAGAACTAGAATTTGAATTGAGCCATTTGTACAAATTTGTACAAAAACAATTATTCTTCATCTTTGTATATCTTTTTCTAACACTATATAAATGGAAAGGAAGGCACATTCACCCATGTACATAATAAACTCAGAAACCTTACCAACTGTATATCTTGATTTGAGAGCTTTCTTTCCTCCCCAGCAGGCATGTTTGTCATCGTGACCTAGTGTACAATCACAATAATGTGTGATCAGTTGTTTTCCAGAAACAAAATGGGATCAATTTTCTCAATATACAATTATCATAGCAGCCATGCGGTGCAACAAAAACCAGTACATGACGAAAAATGCAGAGTACAAGAACCACAGGAAATAAAAATACACAATAAGTCCATTAAATCACAAAGCAGTTAACAATAAATAACACCAACCAGCAACAGTGCTTTAAAACTAACCAAGTTTCATGACCTTAATACCGAAAAATTTACAGTTCCTACCTGTTGCTAAAAGACTAAAACAGAACAAGTTAAACCATTTTTCCTAGTCCTTTTTTTTTTTTCATTTTTCCACTTTTCCCTTTTCTAACTCTCTAAAATTTAATGGATTTTGTCGTTTGCGAATTTGGAACGGAAACCAAGGCACGCACCGCAAGATCGGAACTTTCCTCATAACTGATGGAAAAACAGCTCGAAATCGTTAATTTACTTACACCGACTCGTTAAAATACTGAATTATATTTCCATTTCGACGATTTCCAATTTCCACCAGTAAACAACCATGGCTGCAGAACTAATAGAGCACCAAGAGAATCATTCAAACAAATTATTATTTCGCACTCATTTCACATCTAAAAAAAAACGACGAGGCGGAACAAATCAC